AAGAATTCCATCATCTATTGTTAATAGTTTTTTAAACATAATTGCTGCCATATTATTTCTTTTATTTTATGGTGTACAGCTTACTAAGTTTACCCATAGTAAAACCCTATTAAATAGAGACGTGTTTTGGCCAAATAAAGCATGGAGCATTCCATCTTTAATACTCACTATTTGTCTTATATTCCTTTCCTTCTGCATAAATTATTAAACAAACAAGGTTATAAACATAAAGCTACTTGCAGCTAGACTAAATTCCCATATAGCTACTGTGAATAGTTTGTTTATGAGTTTCATATTCAAAAATAAAAATAAAAATAGTAACCATAAAAATCATCATTATAACTAAAATATTCCCACCTCTTTGCCATTAACATTTCCCAAATCAAAATCTTCCTCATCACCCTCATCATTCTCATGTTGAATTGTGCTAGTCCTAGATGGAGTCTAATTTTCCTTTCTTTTAGAAAAATTTCCAATGTATGAGTTTCTTTCATTGACATCGCTAGCTCTCATAATATTATTCCTAATCAACTTTAATTCAACAAATACTAATTCACCTTGTTCATCAAACTTACCATCCAACTTTCAATTATTACTGTTCATGACTCATTTGTATCATTTGTTTATAAGAAATTCAGTCCAATAATGTCATGATAGATGCATCTCTAAATCAAGCAACCATTCTGCTTCATGTAAATCACATATCAAATGCCAAGCACTTCAACTAAAATATCCAAGTCAAAATAATTAAAAAAACTTGTACATAAAATGAACCAACATTTGACATGTGTTATACCACATAGAGAACATAGCAATAGCACAAGTGTGTCTTGCTAAGCTACGGGCTATAGCATGCGCTATTATATACTACTTACATGTATAAGGTTACAACCAAATCAAGCTTATTAGATTGCAGACATATGATTACTAGAGGCTAGCACCAAATCAAGATCGAGAGAGGAAAGGACAATGTGAGTATTATTTGGTTTCAAACTAGACTGCAAAGGTGTAGAGCAAAAGGAGAAAAAAAGAAGAGAGAATCAGTTAAAGGAAAATAAATCAAGGATATATACGTCAATAACTATCTAGATCATTTACCAAAGATCGAGCAAGCTATTTATCAATTTGCAAAGCTCTCTTGCTTCTTGGTTGGTCAAGTGATCCTTGGGGTCAAACATATTTTTTGTTATTGGATAGAAGTGTCTTGTTGCAGGCTCCAGTGAGCACATATTGATTTCTATTTCTCCGGAAACGTCAATATATACATCTCATCAAAAAATTTTGTCATCAAATTGCAACAAGTCATGCAGTTAAGGGTGAAATTATAAATGCCACGTAATCACAACATCCATGCCATCTACAATGAAGCATGTCATAACAACTAGAACAAATTCCTAATAACCACCTTGCCAAATGGTGCATGCTAAATCATATCACATGGTGATCTTCTACAATCAACCCATGTCAAATAAGAATCAACTGCCCAAAAAACAGCAAGCATGTAAATTATATTAGTGCTCTCTATAGTTCATTAATTGTAATAACATAAATCACCATCAAAATAATTACTTTTAACAAAAAATTAAATTGATGTTTAGATACCAATGAGCTTTCTCTTGACTTTTTTTCAGTTATCTCACAATAATCTAATAAATTTGATAATAATACAATTAATACAATGAATAATTCATTTGGCTTTAACTACAAATAATATTGAAACTCATATTTGTCAATTGTTTGAAACCATCACAATCTTTAAGATAATATTAAAAATATTTGTGAACACGCTACTCCAACTTCTCTAAGGTTTCACAAATATGAAAAAATATATTATCCTAATTTAAAGTTTTATTTTATCATTCTCTTCAAATAACTTAATTTGGCTTTTATAACTAAGGGGTTCTTTGCTCGGGTGAAAAGGAGTGTATTTTATTTAAAATGCCAATATTTCATTTTTCTAGTTTGGCGGGACGTAATGGATTGTAACAAATTTTCTCACCATATTTTGAATTCATGTAAAGAGGCCTTTCTCCATGACTCTGAAATCATCATGATTCGAGCTAATTATAAATATGTTGAGTTAACCCTTGTCCCCTTTGCAACTCCAACCTGTGAAAACCCTCTTCTTCTGCTCATGAAATCATCTCCTACAACCTCGATGTAATTTGGCATCTTGCTCTTGAAAGACTCTTTAGTGACAGTTCGGCGTTACCTATGATAGGTGAGCTCAAACAAGACTATAAGGGCTAGACCCGGACATAGGATTTAACCTAAATCCTGCCAAACCATAAAAAGAACAAATATAGTATTCTCATGCAACGATTCAGTGATGATCCCATTCTTGACTTTAATCTCGACCTTGACCTCGATCTCCTCTATGAGACATGGGTTCCTGAATATAATCTGCATCCTCATGTCATCCAGTCTTCCGAATCTTCCTCTTCGGTTCTATCTATGAGTTTTAATCCCCCACTGTTGGAGGGTGGCTTTACGGATTTTGTCTCATGCTTCATTAACTACATCGAAAAAATTTCTAATGGAAGATGTTGATTGAGGAAAGGAAGCCGACTAGGATGAAGTCATGATTTTTTTCCCAAGCATGCTTTTTGATGATTCAATCAACTCAAAGGTTGATGTGGATACTCCTAGTTCGTATGATACGTCACCTAAGGAGGACCAGAGCAAAAGCGTGGTTGCTAAGGTGTTGGTTGTTGAAGAGGATGTCAATTATGTCAATTGTTCATTTTTTGAATTTGAAATTGTTCAATTGTTTGATTCAAGAAAAATTACTTACCACTCCTGCTTTTAGGCGTGCATTGTGTTTAAAAAAAATGACGAAAGTTTTTTATTGAAGCCATATATAAATTTTTCTTTGTAATTTAGTTAGCATTTTATAATTTTTTGTTTATCGTATGCTACAAATCCTTCAGCAAATGAGGAATAGAGAGTCTGTAATGATCTCGGGGGGAGGAAGATGTAAATAAATCCTACAGAATCTTAAAGCCAGTTTTCCTCCTTTCTTCCTTAAATCTAGGATTAGTAAATCTCATTGGAATTACAGGATTTAGAGAAGCAGCGTGTGAAGAGGGGTGGGAGGAAGTGGAAGAATGATTGTAGGAGGCTATTTGGTAGCATGATTTGATCTAGATTAATCTAAATCCTGCCAAATAACAAAAAATGACAGCTTTAAATTTTAATTCTTAATTCTCATTCCTCCTTTATTTTTACCTTCTTTTTTATTTTTTTACTATATTGTGCATTGTAATCAAACTGCCACTTTATAATTGTTTCATTTATGTCATAAGTCATGATTTTGTGACTTCAATTTGTGCTATTATGCTATTTTCAAATTTAGTTTGGAAGCTAAACCTCATCTCAATCAAAGAAATTCATATTCTTTTTACTTGAATATGCATTTGGCTTTGCTGTGTTGTATAATGTTGATATTTTATAGTGATAAAAAATCCACTTTCTCTTAGAATTCATTAGAGCTGTCATTTTTTTTTCTTCTGCAATGGATGGTTTTGTGTCTCTCTAGTTGAAAATTTTGTTTATTTTATCTTCGGCTAGGTTGAATTTAATGAAAATTATTCATTTATGACTTGTCGAGGGGTTGTGAAAATGATGATCATGCCAATGGTCAATTCATTTAAAAGTTTGTTTGCTAAGATCTATGTGCACTGAATTTGATAGTTTTATAAAATTAAAAAAAAATGAAAGCTTATTTTAATCTTTTTGTAAGCATTCCTGTCTTCAGAAAGCACAATATTATATGTTTGATTGCCATATGATGTTTCTTGAATTGTGGTTACATGTATTTTTTCTCGCACATTCCCTTTCAATTAATGAACGTTCTTTTTCACTTTTGGATAAATTTTTTAGAGCTTTTGTTGACATGATGATGGAGCTTAGTATAAAAAAATCAATGTAAACAACTTGGAGTGATCAATAAATATAATTTAGAGTGATCCACAAAAATAGTATATCAAGGTTTAATTTTTTTAAATACAAGACATAAATTCATATTTATAGATTTGCAAAGACAATATCAAATATTTTACGTAAGAACAACCGCATACTAGTATCAAATCATGATTTATTTTTTAATTTATTTTAAGATGCATATAAGAGATGAATTATTAATTAACTTATAGTTTAAGTAAAATTTTTATATTTATTCATATAACACTCTAATTTTAAACATACATAAAAATTACTAATATTAATTTATAAAATATAAAATATATTTTATCATGTATATATTTTAATAATTTTTATTATAAAATATTATATAAATAAATTTGATAATTTAAATATTGAATATGCAAGCTTATAAAAAAATATGATATATAACTAATTAAATGGAAAAATAAAATATAAGGATTCCATTTACAGACAATCAAATAGCTCATGAGTATTCAAAATATATTATTTCCTGCTTTACTGTGCATGAACTTAACTAAACAGAAAAAGAATTCCCTTGCACTTGCTTTACAAACAACCAAATAGCTCCCGAGTATTTAGAATATACTGCAATTAGAAAACTCTGTGTTCCTTCTTCAGCAAACCAAACAGCCCCTAAATATATAATATCTTCATCATTCTAATAATTTTGTTCTTCCACAATGTTTTGAAAGTATAATTTACTTAAATAATATCCAATCTTTTTTTATACATATAAATGACATCTTCTTTAGCTATAATTGGCACTTTACCTGAGAGTATTGCATTTACTTTTCTCAAAATAAGACAGTCACCACCTAAAAAAAATTTCATCAGCTAAAACCTGATAAACTTCACTTTCAACAAATCCAATTTTATCAAATCTCTTAATCTTCTTTCATATAGCATAGCTTAAAGAAAAGAACTACTCCACCTCGTGTACATTCGGACTAAATAGGTAGCAGCAAATAGCTACAAAAAAAACATATATATCTCCAACTAATATATCAGATGAATAAATTCAAATTAAAAGCAACGAAAAGTAGCAGTGATCTCACAAATTTGGAGTGTCCATATCTTTCCCCTTCTTCAGTACCATAGTAGCTTGGCTTCCCATATTCAGTGCTCTGGTATTGATTGCCATAGTTGGAATTCTTCCCACCACTAACTTCCTCGCCAGCGCCGTAACTCGGCTTATCATAACTCGTGTTCCCACCATAAACATAATCGCTATTCTTCCTAAATCCACCATCACCACCAACTTCTTCCTCATTCCTTCGATAGTCATTGCCTCCAAAGCCTTGGCGCCCGTAACCTTCTTCCTCACTCCGCCGAAACCCCTCATCCCCATAATGAATCAAGCCTTCACGGCCATACCCAGATCCGCTTGGGGGTTTCCTCCCACCTTCGTACTCCGATCCATACTCAGATCTGAATTCCTGGTGCTGGGGGCGCTGGCCATAACCCTGGCCGTAGGCGAATCCCTGCTCCGGGAACTGAGGACGCCCACCGTACACCGATCCATAATCGGATGCGCCGCTACCACCTCCGTAACCGTAGCTTTGGTGACCGTAACCTGTGTACCACGGATTGGAAACTGGCTGTGGCTGGCGCTGGGGCTCAAAGCCAGGGCGCAGAAGGCCGTAGCAGTCACTTTTCTTGGTATTGTCGGTTTCGAAAGCGGAGTTGTGAGACCCAGAAGAATAGCGAGGGCGCTCCAAGTCCACGTCTCCAGCTGCGGAAACAGGGTAGCATATCTCATCAGTGGGCTGCAGCGGCCGGCCGTAGGTGAGGGAAAGGTCGTAACCACCGGAGTACGGCGTCGGATCATATCCTTCGAAACTATCAACGGACATGCCACGAAGACCCCAAGACGACATCTTCACTATCTTGCATGCCCTGGCCTTTGGATTCTGAGTTTTGCCGGCGAGGAGGCCGGGAGATCTAGAAACTTATAAACGAAAATGGAACAGCAAAAAATCCCTATATATGGAAGGAATTACAGTGGTGCCATCAAAAATCAGTATTAAGTTAGATTAGGCGAGTAAACCCAACCCACCTCCAACCATTTTAGATTCAATTTGATTAATTTCATCGAGTTCGTTTACTCACCTCCAACCATTTTAGATTCAATTTGATTAATTTCATCGAGTTCAAGAGTTTAAATTGGCTCATGAGCCAGGCTGATTATTATAAAAAGGATAAAATAATATTAATTTAAGATAATGTTATAAAAAATTTCAAATAAAATGAATAATTACAAGAGAAATAATAAGAAATTATTTAATATAAAATATATAATATCATTATTTAAATATTTTTATTGCTTTAAACATAAAATCTTCAAACTTCGTATGTTTTGATTATATTCTATATTAATATTTTCTTAAATGAAATGACTCACGAGATAACGAGTCGAATCAAGACTAGCTTGAGCTTAGCTTGTTAACTCATCGAGCTCAATTCACGAGCCACTTATCGAGCCGGCTCATGAGTTAGCTGACCAAATAAAGCGGGTGACGTAATTACACCACCTTTCGGGTGTGCCCACGTCACCAGCCTGTTTGTGATGCCTATAGGGCGGCATGACCACGCGTAACCATGGCGTCACCACGCTATCGGAACGAATTTCGCGAGGTGTTCCCTACTTTTCTGACAAGATGTCATCTGACCGCCAGAAATTCACCATTGACCAATCTCAGACCATTTTTGGCACTTGTCACCTGGGATGTCCCATATGGGGTAAGGGGTCATTTCTTCATCTTTAGCCATGGAATAAACCCCTTTTGCTGGGGATAACTGGGGAGCGACCATTTGGGGAAAAAGAGGTCATTTGGAGATTTGCTTGGAGTAGAGAAGATATTGGGGAGGCTGGTGTGCTACTGGAGGAGAAGTCTTTGAGGAGAGTTTGAGGATTTTGGATGTTCTCCTTCCATTTTTATTCTTTTTCTTCTACTTCTCCTTATTCTCCATCATTTTCTCCACTTCTCCTCTATCTTCTTCTTTTATGGCTGCCATTTCGCCGGAGAAAACAGAGAGAAGAGAAGGTTTCTTATCGGAAGCCTAGTCAGAATCTCCTCCTTAAGGAGTGCTTCGTCCTTCTTGGGAGAAGGACCATCACCAAAGTTTGTGGCATCATCAGAATCTCCTCACATGGAGAGCTTCTGCGCCCTTTGGAGAAGAATCTACGCTGGAGCTTTGAACCTTTGTCAGTCTCTCCTACCATTAGGAGAGCTTCTTCCCAAAAACCGTCGGAGGTCGGACGTCGTACAATCATTGTGGATGTATAACTCCTTAAACTCTTGCATTTTTCTTCCAAGATTGCATAGGTATGGTTGTGTAGAGGATTAAGAACTAGGTCTTGTTGTGCTTAGAGAAGGCCTTTAGGATATGAAGTGTTTAAGGACACCCCCTTATGAATCTAAGTGTTTCCTCAAGCCTTAGTACTAAAATCGTGCATAAGATGAAGTTTGGTAAGACCTCGTCGTTTGCTCCAGCAGTTTCCCTTGATTAGACAAGTGAAATCTAAGGAACGGACAGCCGATGACACCCCTTTGTTTGTCATTCGCTCAATCACGAAGAGTTCTCTTCTAGAGTCAACTTTTCACTCCATGTCTAGAAAAAGGATGGCAACTTTGTGCTGCTTCTCATAATATGAAGTTGACATCGCTTTCCATAAATTCAACCCTACAATATAGGAGAGGTTGTTAGGGCGACTTGGGTGCGTCGTCCCACAGGAAAATTAGCAATATGTACTTTCAAACAATAAACTTCTATTTCAAAAATACAATTGTTTAAACTATAGATAATTTGACAGTAATTAAAATTCAAATATTTTTGGGATTTTTGATACTTTGACGAAACAGTAATACCTTCTAAATATAACTTGAGTTTACGTAAAAGAAAAGCACAAAATATGAAAATATCTTTCTCATTTTCATGAATCAGTAATAAGTATAGGAATTATGTTATGGAAGTATGCAAATTGTGTTATGCCAAATATGAGGCATTCTTTACCCTCACTAGAGTTGTTATAAAGAACATTGGCTAATTTAAAGTTTGAATAGTTCTGAAGACATGCCATGCAGGGAAAACGTCAGTTATCACTCTAGAGTTCCCTCAATTCCCTCTACCTGGGGGCTAACATCTCGCATCATAACCTAAAAAAATAAATCAAGTTGGGGGTTTTAGTCTGTCACTCTAAAGTCCTCTAACTCTACACCCTTCAAAGATTATTTTCATATTTATTTGCACTAAATCATATGAATTACAATCTCATTCATACAACCTCATGTGATTCTTTCCAATTGTTAACTGAGACAATATCAGCCTGGCTCTTACATATTCTCGCAACAAATTTTAACATCTAGATGGGACAAATCACGAAGTAAATGAAGTGCATGAAATTAAATCATCACAACTTCTTCCAACATTAAAGATTAATACTCTCCACAACTTCCATTCAACACATTAATTACTTATCATTTTAAGGAGAAAGATAATAAAAACTAGTCAGAATCCATAGAGAAAACAAAATTACACTATAGTTTAAAAGTAGAAATCATTGTCAAACTAATAAGTACTCTCGATTAAAATCAAAAGTAGTTTAAAAATAAAAACTCTTGATGTTCCTTTGAATCTCTTCTCTTTTACAACACTCTAAACTCTCAAAATAAAACTAAAAACAAAAAGGATAAAGTAAATTTGTGGTGTTTGAATCTCTCCATAAGATTCTTCATGATCTTCTTCTCAGGACTCCATCACTCTCTCCCTCTTCAAGCACACTCTAAAATGTCTCAACTTCATTTTTTTCTAAATTTCTCAAGATGTGCCTTGAAAACTCTTCAAAATGTGTTGAAATTCAATGTATTCTCCAAGGGATGCCTCCTTTCACAAGTCTTTTAATAATATTTTCGTTCCTGGTGGTCATAACCACCCTCTTTAGCCAATAGGTGTCTCAAATGTCTCTTCAAAATTCGGCCAAAATCGTCAAATAACTGCCTCTGACGCTTAAGCGCGGGGCCTTTAGCGCTTAGACGTCACCTTCTCTGTTTCACCGGCAATTAAGCGCACGTAAGCACGGGATCGAGCACTTAGGCGACAAAACACTTTTGCACAAATTTCACATTTTTGCTCTAAATTTGATCATTTTTCACTCTTTTTAGTTTTTTTTAACTTTTTACATGTACTTGAAAGAAAAACACACAATATCTTCCATTAAAGTGCAGTATCTCAAAAATAGGTATAAAAATGTGTCTAAAAAACTATATATTTTAGGTGTATCGGTTGCCCCGACATGATTGGTTGATCACTTTGAGTTTTATCGGTCGTCTCAGATCGATCGTCTGCTCTTTTATGTTCAATTGGCCACTCAAACCCGATCATCCAATCACTTCAGTTCGTGATCAGCCTTTCACTTTCAGTTTGATCGGTTGTCCTGAGCCGATCATCCACTTTTTTGGGTTTTATCGGCAACTCTGGTTCGATCACCCACTTTGTTTTGATCGGTCGCCCCGGCACGATTGACCAATCACTTTTGGTTTGATCAGTTGTCCTGAGCCAATCACCTTCTTTTTTGGGTTCAACTGACCACATTGATTTGATCGCCCACTTCGGTTCAATCGGCCGCCCCGGCGCGATCGACCAATCAATTTGGGTTTGATAGGTTATCTCAGGTTTATCACCCGCTCTTTTGGGTTTGATCAACCACTCCAGTCTGATCACCCAATCATTTTGGTTCAATCGACCGACCTGACGTGATCGAACAGTCACTTAGGGTTTGATCAGCCGCTCCAGTTTGATAACCTTCTCTTGTGGGCTCGATCGGCCCCTTCGATCCAATCACCAGATCATTTCAGCTCGATCAGCTGCCCCAACATGACTGATCAATCACTTTGGGTTTGATCGGTCGTTATGGTCTGATCACCACTTTTGGGTTTGATCTGTCTTCCCCGATCTATCGACCAACCTTTTTGGTTTGACCGGTCGCCATGGTTTGGTTGTTAGATCTCTTGCATTCTTGTATGCTTTCTTTTATGTTGCATGTTTTCTTTTACATGTGTATGAAAAGTTTTTTTTTAGCTTGATGTCTATGAATTATTTCATTACATGAAAATATATTTGCATTATATGCTTTGTATGTGGCGTGTCTCGGGAGTCATCTTGAGCATACTTGTTTGGGGTGTCTCTCCTAGCATACACACCTTGTGGCGTCTCTTTGAGCACCTACGCTTGTGAGTGTATTTTCTACATGCACCGTTGTATGCACAAAGAATAAACACTTGAACATTTTGAGAGAAGATGAATCACATGTATAACTGCATGCCGCGTTCCCCACGACACCGCCCACAGTGTCTTGAGATATTTCACATCGTGTTGAATACTAGTTATGCTTCACAGCCATTGAACTCATGTGAGAGACAAAGTGTCTCCACCTAAGCATATGATTCTCACCCGCATGAATCATATGACTTAGCATGTTTGGCATTTTATATCTTTTTATGTTTGTCATTTGAGTGTCATTCCCATATCGTATATTTAACATTTCTCATATGTTTGTTGCATTTATGTATGCTTGACTTGTCTCATTTATCTTGTTTCATATCTTGCATACTTGCATGTGTGCTCGGTGAGTTCCTCTAGGGTAAGGTGAAAATTCTCTTTATAGGTATCCTTTTACTTGATGCAAACTCACTCATAGCCGGTGTCTGCTTATTGCATGGTGCTCCGGGTCCCCCAGGCAAGTGTAATTCATTTCTCATTTTTGTGTGTCATGTGGTATGTAACATCTTTGCATTCATTTGTATGATGTATGCTTCACCTTTTGTCCCATTGTGATTGCTTTGTGCTTCGATCGAACAATCACAATGTGGTCTTTTTTGCAAGTTTGTATGTTTCCTCATTCACCTTGATGGCTTGTCCTGCTCATCAGGAGGGTGATCCCG